TATATATATATCCTTACACGTACATATTCCCGGCAGTGCGGACTGTTTAGGTTCCTGAAGTAAATAGATGAAAATGAATGAAGTGAAGTAATCGGAACAGGCATACACAATTACTAGTGTAAATCTAGATGGAAAGAAATCAAAATAATTTATGTAAATTAATAGTGTTTAGACACTATTGATTTCACTTACAACGCAATTTCAACAATATGCATGATTTTTTTAAAAAAATGCAATTATGAGCCGTTTGCAGACGTTGTCAAATTGGTACATGTCATAATCCACGACGTAAAGTGAAGCCCACACGACCAATGCCTGCAAAATGGAAAATGATCACAACTGAACAGAAGCAATTCCTAATGCATCAGATGCTCATCCCGGATGATATTTTGAAATGCTGTCCAGCCTGCCATAAAAAAATCTCCAAACAGTTGGATATGGTAAGTTATAGAGCAAACATTCGTGAGAATATTTTAAACAACTATATTTTGCAATCGATTCTCCCAACTGTGCAATCGTCCAACTACTTTGCCATTTGCTTCAGGAAAGTTGAATGCCTTTTGACACGGGCAATTTTTGCATGACATCTCAACGCCATGAGAAGCAAAAAGGATGATAATAAATACGCAATTCTGTATGCCAGAGGTACCTACCTAAAAATAGTAACGATTTACACAAGCAAAGTATCCCAACATGTTTTGATACAAATAATGATGAAAAGAAAAAAGCTAACCCCTTATAAGAGGCGTATAAGTAGCAAATATGTTTGTAGGGGAAGGGACAGGGGGAGGCGAGGAATATGGGGCGTGAAATGAAAGTGATGACCAGCCTGCTGGCGATCCTAACGTTCGTTTCGTTTCCTGAAAAAAGATTACAGGCTCAATGATTTTTCTGACGGATGGGATTAGCATCGCCTTATCATTTTTGAGGTACACTTAGTTCATTTTGAGGGTCATCACCTTGTCAGAAACGTGCACTCCTGGACCACGATGATAGATTTAGCGCTGAAAAAATTTTGTCGCTACGTTACTACTCGCTTTGCATCTGAGTACCCTGAACTCTTACTGGGAAATTTGGAAGAAATTTCGCGTTCTTTAATGAAAGAGTATAGCTTTTTAGCTTCTTGGTGGCGAACTGGATGAACAAATGGCTGTTTGGCAGCGTTCTTCGGTGGTCCTGTGGAGTAGTGATGATGTGGAAGCGCTGCGCTCCACTGTCACTCTGTTAGGTACCGATGATTGGCAAGCTGTGGCGGAGAAATTAAGTCGCAAATATAATGCCGAAGTACCAGTTTTACAAATTCTGAAGCAATATTGTCTTTCTTAAAATTGTTCCCGCGTGTGCTTGTATGGGAATCGCAAGGGTGTTTACGCATCTTTTTGAGGTAGAACCAAGGAAGACATATAGTTTTTTGAATGGGGAAGAAGGGAGAAGGGCGGGGGGAGAGGGAGGTTAGTGCAAGTATGCTCGTTGTGTGTGCTGCAGCAGTGGAACTTTAGCTTGTCCCTGAGTAAAATATGAATGGAAAGAAAAAAATTGGAAACGGTTCTGAAACAGTGGGGCTTGTTCGGTTCTTGTTCCATGATTTTATACAGTGATAAACTGTCGTTAAATTCAGCAATGTCGTGAGCAACATGAGAAAATGCAAGCAGTCGATGGCTGCCACAAAAAGGAGGCCGAAAGCGAGGAGGACGATATGAGCGACGACGATCGAGAGATGCCACGAACACTTACAGCTGAAGCGAAAATCGAAGTTGACCCAAGGTTTTTTCTTTTTTTGAATTTGGCGTACGTCGTGCTAAGAATGTATTAAGGATGAATTGTAGTATGGAAGAAAACCAGATCTTTGATTTGCATATTTTTTGAATTCCATACAGTTTATTGCTATGTTTACTGCATTCGGATAATTGGAATTGGCATTTCCGAAAACCAAAAAATTAAAATCCTCAGACGGCCCTGCTGTATCTACTAACTTCATGGCAAACTCCATCAAATTTTCTATGGAACAAATGTTCTAAAGATGATTCAAAATATTCGCTCAGACTTTCGCTAAATTAGATCGGACATCAAACTTTCGTTCACTACGAGAAGTAGTGGCTTTGTTCTCTTTCGATAGACAGTGTTCGACTCTATAAGAGAAATAATTAAACTTCCGATTCGTTTATTCGTTTCGTCGAGATTTTTTTTTTTTTTTTCAAGATCATATGGCCAAGCTTTGACTGCGTGAAAGGGAGAAGTTCTGGATTTTTCTTTATGATCGGCTCCGCAAGTATATCATTTAATCAGAAACAGCATAATTTTTTGCCTGCAGTGGTGAAAGCAGTGCAACACTGAGCGCAGATGAGACGGCTAACCAAGAGGAATGTGCAGTTCTATCACCGGCTGTTGTGAAGTCTCCATCGACGCATTTGTACAAACCACGATTTCGTGGTACTTCACAGCCTGCTTCTGAAGGTGATATTAGTAATTCTGCACGTCATCGCTATAGTGCGTTTGAGCAAAATTTAATATTTTATTTATGGCGAAAATTGAATTTTTACCTGACTGATAGAGTGCTGTACTGATGATTCCCACTCCTATCCAGACGCTACATTCGATCTACAATTACAACTAAGAATGAAACACAAACTGTTTCCTAACAAGTCTTCGTTACCATCGGCAGATCCAGAGTGGTGGGGGCGAGGGGTCTTCCGCCCTTCTTCCCCCTCCGCCCCTCAGGGGCTCAGATAGCAGCTGTTTTATTGTAGAAAGCTCTGTTCGACACCGCCTGTTGCCCTTCTCCTCCTCGAAAGCTGCCCCCTCCCCTCCCCCAGGAGACCGCCCTGCATCCACCTATGTTCGTTACAGATAACATTTAGATTGATCCTTTCTTAGCTATTACGATTTTTAACATTTGAGCTAAAAATTAACAACTGTGGTTCGGTTACATCATTATTTTTAAGTTGCTACATCACCATTTGATGCTACCGCACGTGTAAAGAAGGAACCCGATGTTCTGTCATCACCGTTAACGCAGCAAAGATCCGATGCCAGTGCTTCCTCAACATCCGATCACGGTGATGTTCCGGTGACCCCCGTCCATGCAACAGCTGCACCTGTAGCAGTAGCTGCTGGTGCAGGAAGTGCTCTACTTGCAACACTTACTGCATCAACACCCGATTCAACGCCAACACCGGTAAATGCTTTTTTTTTTTGTTGTATATGTACTAAAATGACCAAGAAACAATTCAAACGATATCTGATGCTTTTATAACTAATCTGCTTACACGATTCACGAATCATCCTTAAAAAAAGGGCAAACTTGAAAAAATTTTCGAAAAAGAAGTACTTATTTCTACCTCCGTCTGCTCGTTATAGATGGAAGTGGACAGTTTACCACAGTGTTCCATTTCACTGAGCAAACCATCAACACCAGCAGTAACGCAATCAACTCCTACACTCGGACCAGTTGTCAGAGGTTCAATTACTCAAGGTATCACTTTCAAACCACATTGTTCAGACGTAATTTGAGGTCCAGAATCACTGCTTATTATGCGTTTTTTGCAGCTATGCAATGCAAAAACGCATATTGTCGAGGGGTTGTCTGTGTGT